GGAGGGAGGGAGGGAAGAAAGAAAGAGGGCTGGAAAGATGGCTCAGAGGTTAAGAGCACTGCCTGTTCTTCCAGAGGTCCTGAGTTCAATTCCCAGCAACCATATGGTGGCTTCCAACCATTTGTAATGTAGTCTGGTGCCCTCTTCTGGACTGCAGGGATACATACAGGCAGAACACTGTATACATAATAAATAAATAAATCTTTAAAAATAAAAAATAAGAGAAAGAAAATCTAGGCAGGTACTCATTCCTAGCATATAACAGTATTTTATCACCCTGTAAAATGGGAAAACCTAAAATCTGTATGATTTTACACATTATTCTAGCAATGATATGCAAATGAAATACTTTTATCTATAACCTAGTGCTAATTGAGATTCTGAAGTGTACTTTTTTATGGTCTAAAGTTGGAGTGTTTTTCTTGTCATCTAAAAATGGCAGAAAATGATTTGACTATGGTATCTAGAAATTTCTTATCAAGCTTTTGTAATAGAGAAAGATCACTCAATTCTACACTTAAATTTTTGTTTTTATTTTGAAGTTCTCCAAAGCACATTTGCAGGAATTTTACAATTGTGAGCCTACCATAATAACAATAGTTTCCAGATTACCTCAGGCAACAGTGCAAATAAGCAAGGATGTTTACAGGTTAATACAACTACTTAATCTTTTGGCGCAGTGAATTTGAAAAGTAAAAGAGAGAAGCTTTTAGCTAGAAACTGGTTTACAGGGTACATCTAGCCCCAATTTCCCCTGGTTTTTCCATATTTAAAATGATAAAATGTCAATGATGTGCCAATTATGTGAATGTGACATAAATATACATCTATATTTAAGATATGTTGTTTAATGTTTTAAAAAATTATATGAAGACCACTTATTTAAGTGGTCAAGAAAGTGATTGTTATTATCAGCTCAGAGTAATATATCAACAGAGCCAAATTACTGTATCTAAAAACTTTTAGCTTTCGTGTGTGATTAATTAGTGACTTTATGAAGTAGTTGAATGAAATTTCCTGAAGATTTAGCTGTGAAATGTCATTACACATTAAATTTTTGTAGTATAAAATAACATCCTTCCTACTTTCATGAACTTTGAATACTCAGTTTATTTTTCTGCTTGACATCTGATCAAATAAACCCAAGCCAAATATGTGCAATAAAATCAAGCTATTAGATTGCATCCATTGCTTTATTGGAAAAATTATTTCTGTATTAAAATATTTTTGTTCATGTAGAAATCATCAATTCAAATGTGTTTAAAAGGCAGATGACTATTTTCAAGTATAATAAATTCATGGTATCATTCCTACTCTTATCCATTTTTACAGTATTTAAAAAATCTGTTTAACTTATTGAGCATCATTTTGCCATTGCTGTATGTATAAACATCATAATAAATACTAAATTCTTATGTTAACTGGAGTTTTTGCATTATGTATTAGTGACAGAGTTGTATAAGCATTGTGTTTACATCTATTTTAGTCCCCTTGGCTTGCTAAAACAATATATAATTTGAGGAGCTTATGAACAACAAATATTTATTTCCTACACTTCCAGAGGTCAGGAAACTCAAGATTAAGGCACAAACAGAGCCACTGTCTACATGAGGTCTACTTCAGAGTCACTGTCTACATGAAGCCTACTTCAGATTTTCTGATAATTAATGCCATCTCCATGTTTGTTCACTTGGTTAAAAGGAAAAGGAGCTTTATGACATCTCTCTTAGGAAGGTCCTTGTCATATGTATGAGGGCTTCACACCCATATACCTACTTATTTTTCTAAAGGCCCTGGTTCATGTAACTCTCACATGGTGAGTTTGTGAATAGAACATTAACATTTAGTTCATAAGCAGCCGTCATGTTTTAGGAATGTGCTGGTGCTGGGGACTGTGTCTACTAATTCTCCCACTGAGCTACATCCTCAGTCCAGAAAAAAAATCTTACATGAGCCATTTGTAGTGTCTGTCAGTGGTGAGTGTTCAACCTGCCAGCTGTTTCTTAGAATGATTTATTTAGATAGGATGTACACTAGGAAATGTGTTGTATACATGTTTAACGTTTTTGGAGTCATGAAGCTTATGATGAAAGTTACATATCTCATTTTTATTTTGGCATCTAAGTGTTGGTTGATACCTGCTCTTTGTTTGGCATTAGGGATATAACAGTGAACAAAAGAAATCTCTCAAGTGAGGAGTAATGAGAGAATATGTCAAGTGGCTGTGTCTTAGTTACAGTGTCTATTGCTGTGAGGAAACACCAAGACCAATAGCAACTTGAGGAGGAAAGGGTTTATTTAGCACTTCCACATCACAAAGAGGGAAGACAGGGCAGGACTTGGAGGTAGGGGCTGGTACAGAGGGCATGGAGGGTGCCACTTACTGGCTCGTTCTCCATGGCTTGCTTAATTGGCTTTTATTTACAAAAATTATTTTTTATTTTAGATACCAACCTCAGTCACCCCTCTCTCCCCTCTTCCTGCCCCCCCTTCCCACTCCCCATCTACTTCTCAGAGGGGGTAAGATCTTCCTTGAGGAGTCAGCAAAGTCTGGCATACCAAGTTGAGGCAGGACCAAGCCCCTCCCC